ATTGATGAAAGTGATACCAATCAAATCTTTCATTCATGAGAAAAATCATTTCTTATCTCTTTTATGTGGTTTACGATCACTAAAGTCTACTAAATTCGACAAACCAAAAGTTTCCATCGCCAGTCGTAAATCTGCCTCCTCTTGCAACCTTTGACGTCTTAATAATTCAAGTCGCCTTTCTTCTGGTGTAAGTGCTTCCTCCTTTTCTTTTGCTTTCCTATCGGCTTCCTCTTTTGCTTTTTTCTGAAATGTAATAATTTTTTACAAATGTATAAACAAAATCGCAAACAATATAGGCCTTTATAATTTAAAAAAATCAAAACAAACCTCACGCTCCTCGATTCTTTCAGCTAAAGCTTTTTTAGGTTTTGACTTTGTTTTTGGTGCTTCTGCTGGTTTCTCTACATCTTTCTTTTCTTCTTCTACATCTTCCCAGCTGTCCTGTTGAATTATTTAAGTTAAGCAAATAAAAAAAATAATTACTAATGTTTTATATTATTCTTGTTATCAAAAATAAAAGAAATAATTATAATAGTTTCTATGTTCCTCTCTCTCTCTTGTTGTACATATATAATATTCTATAAGAAATTATCATGTAACACAGAGTTTTCTAGAATATTTAATAAACATTTACAAAGCAACATATAGATATTTTGATGTATTAGAATTTTAATATGTACTTATAGCACAGTAATAAACATAAGATGTGAGAAAAAAAAAATTATTAAATTTTATATTCTCATGAATTGTATTAAATTTATATTGTGCTCATATTTATTGGTAAATATGTAATGATATATGTAATTAATTGTGTGTATACTAAGTATACATACAAGAAATATATACATTTCATAGAGAGACCAAATATAAATTGTATTTTTATCAATTGCAAATACAGATGTATAAATAAAATATACAATTCATGAATAGTTGGTTTTTATTTGTATATTTAAATAATACTATTTTAAATATATGATACACAAATATACATACATACATACATACATACATACATATATATATGTATATATAATATTTCTCATTTTTCAAATCGTGTATCTATAAAATACCACG